CCGAACTGCGTCCTTTTCGGTTGGTTAGCAGTAACGTCTGTCGGGTTCCTTGAGGGTGGAGCCTAGGGCCTGACTTGGATGAGCAAGAACGTGGGACATTACAGGAAGGCCCCTGGGCAGCTCTCTGTAGTGCGTGTAGCGGGGCTCTGTCTACTCCCTCTGCCGGCCAGCCTGCCTTTTCTGCGCAGTGTGCTTCTTGGCTGGCTTGCTGTCATTTCTGTTGTTTGCTACTCAAGAAAAGCGGCGGGGTGTGGGGGAATGGAGTGTTGGGAGTCTACCTTGCATCTATGAAAAGCTTCCCGTTTCTGTGTATATGATTGAAGGGGAGAGACAGACTCCAAACCTCCGGCTGGCGCACCCAGCCCTGCACTAAGGTGGGAAGCCGTGGGCCGGGCCCTTCACTGACCGCCGCCTTTTCTTCTTGCAGCGACTTGACCAACGGAGCGGATGGGATGTTGGCCACCAGCTCCAACGGGTCTCAGTACAGCGGCTCCAGGGTAGAGACACCGGTGTCTTACGTCGGGGAAGACGATGACGACGATGATGACTTTAATGAAAATGACGATGAAGACTGATTTTGCCGGCCTGTAGATTCCTCCTTCCTCCCCTTCAAATTCCACTTCAGGAGAAAGAAAGAAAGAAAAATTGTTTTAGGGAAGAAAAACTTTTTTTTTTAAATGTTCCCCAACCCCCACCACCCCGGGTTCTTTTTTTGCCTCTCTACCCCAAGAAGTTATTGGCAAGCTTAGATATGCACCTCCAATAAGCAAGCAAAGAATGTTTTTCGTAGGATTTTTTTTTTTTTAATGTGGTGTGGATGTGAGTTTTGATACTGGTGTGCAGATGCTGAATCTTTATTTACTTTCTGGGATTTTGTGTTTTTCTTTTGAGAGGGAAAACATTTTATTTTTTTTTTAAATTCAGTTTTTTTATGGGTAGGTGTTTTTTGTTTGTTTTTTTTGCCCCATAACAATTCTTGCTGAGTTTGCCGAAGACCTTGTACTTCAGCCACATCAATGAAAATAAAACGCTATCCTGTTGTGGAACATGGTACCCTGAATGACCATTTATTTGCAGTGCGTTTGCAACGGTGCCACTAAACGGACAGACTGCGAGATGACATCAGGCGTTTTGATTTTGTTAAATCATGCAGTGCCCCAAGAAGAACCACGCAGCCTAGCAAAGCTCACCTTTCTTGTGTGTTTTGGTTTGTTTTTTATTTCCCGAACATTAAGCATCATTAATTTTATTATGACGTTCTTTTCCCTTAAGTTATATTGATGTGTGATTCCATTAAGTTTGTATCTCCCTGCCCACCTTACTGTCTTTTGTTTTGTTTGGGGCTCCGTGTTGCCGCACCAGATGGCAAAGTTTGTTTGTGTGATTTGCTTGGGTTTGGTCAAAGTGTACTGCCATGCTGGTGCAGCTATATAAACTATCTTGAAGGGTTGGAATGGATTGTTGCTTATGGTCACATTTGCCTGATTTCTTACAGGCAGAGTTTGGAAACTTTTTATTATATAGTTGTTTACATACTTATAAATCTATCATTTAAAGACATGTACTGAAGCAAATGTTTTATTTGTTTCGTAAGCATCTTCCTGTAATCTATTATAAAGTTGAAATTAAATATAGAGAATGTTTTAACAGTTTTTTAAAACTCAAGATTTGTCAATCATTTTTAATAGTTCTTTTTTTATAAAAGAAAAGGAATTTCGGGACAGGCAGTAGTCTTGAAATTTTATTCACAGAACCATTAACTGCACAGTTGCTGTTAGCTGCCTGTTCTAAACGAGTAGTCTTTTTATTGAAACACAAATAAACTTTTCTGTAATATTTTATGGAATACAAAGAGACTTTAATTGTTTGACTTGTTTAACTTGGCACTGTTAGTTTTTATTAATAAAACGCGCATGGGCATTTTAAACAAGTTCCGTGTTTTCCTACTTCAGGATTATTACCTAGAAATCATTTTATCTTGTTAGAGTCGTTGTAAAATTCGGTGGAAAAGTAGGTTTTCAGGGTCAGTTGTGGGCCTGCAGTTAACGCTCGGTGGCCTGGTGCTCTTTCTACTGTCCCCGGTCCCCGGTAGGCAGGTGCTGGCTTCCTGTCCGGCTGGGTTCTGATGGCCTGTCACGGGGTCCCCGGAACATTGGTGGGGAGGTGGGGGAAGCAGGGTGCGCTCTCCAGTGTGTGGAAAGCTGGTGGGAGGAAATCATGGGGGCAGAAGGCACAGGGAGGAGAAGTTTGCTCTTTGACTTTACCTGAGGCAGATTGTAAGGGATGAGTTGGCTAAATAAGTCACGGACCGTTTAAAGCAGTGGTTCTCAACCAGTGGGTTGCGACCCCTTTGGGGGCCAAACGACCCTATCATGGGGGTTGCCCAATTCATAACAGTAGCAAAATGACAGTTAAGAAGTAGCAACAAAATAATTTTATGGTTTGGGGGT